TGTTTTGGTCATATCTTTCTCTCTCGATATCCGATTGAGGTGATTCAAATTTCATTCGAAATCTTACTCAAAGGGCTACAAATCTTCTTCAAATAAAATCTTCAAATTCGAATGTCTTATATTCCAAAAGTGGGTCTCAAACTAAGACTGAAAATTCAAAGCATAACTTTTTTAGTTAGAAGTTGATATGTGATGGTACTCCTACTTTATTTTATCCCTTTGGCTTCTTTTCTCATCCAATTGATGTCCAGCACTCTCAAATCTTTATCGTGAGATCGACACAACTTTTCAGTCATTGCACTTAAGTCCTCAAACTTTAATTGTGCTTCATTTTAGTCGTTTTTCGATTGTTTTTCCGAATTTTCACCACGTTCATCATTGTTGTCATGCAAAACAAAAATCACATCGAATTAAGCTATATTCCACATATTTATTAACAATTATCCATGTTTGGACTTACAATAAGTGTGTAAAAACGCACTTATCACTATCCTTATCCAAATTTTGTCAATTTTAATTGTGTTCTTGTGCGGGAGTTAGCTAATCGAGATGGGAAATCTTAGTGTCATTATAGGTCTAATTTAAGGATGATCCTTTGACAATTAATATCAGAGATATTTATAGGCGATTGCCGACTGAAAACATAATAATGGTGAGTCAAAATCAGAAGGACCAAGTTGGAATGCTTGAAAATGTTGTTGTTGCCTTGATGATCAACGATGCTATCAATTTGGCGACTCAAGACATGAATTGAAACAATTGCATGCTAAAAATTAAAGCGGCGTTTTAATGCCTTTGTTGTTAAGACGAATGAAAAGTTCACGTCCATGCTGACTGATAAGTGTGTATCTTCTACACTTATTCAGGATTTGAAACTATAGAATTTCATTGTTCTTCTGGCAAAGTATGACCTAAATTGTGTCAAATTGCATCTTGTAGGTAAAACTCAATATTTTATGAATAATTGGAGAAAAAGAAACAAAATGTAGCGAAAAATAGCAAAATCCAAAGTTTGGGGATTAAATTGCAAATACTCAATAGTTGATTCGACCTCAAGAAGATACTTTGAAAATTGTTAGGAAACAATTGGATGGAATTAGAATTTAAAAAGGAATGGAATATGATCAAAATATTATCAAAATCAATTTCCAATCACACAAGATATATTCTAGATTTTTAGCTGAAGATTGAGACCCCTGTTTGGCATAGTAAACGTCCGAACTGGAAAACCTCTATTTCTAGAAACGTTGTATCCCTTTTAGTTATCTTTTCGACCTACTTTGAATCGTCTCAATCAGATATCAGGAGAGAAAGTTATGACTAAAATACGGATTGCTGTGCAGAGACAAAAAAATCCGCGTGCGAAGGCAACTTTCCTTATTCGATTAGAACTCTTTTGGAAACCAATTTAGACGTGATTTTTAACCAATTTTCGATCCTACAAATAGAGAACAACAGAATGCATTTGGAGAACCTCCCGAGACCTAAAAATCTCTATATTATACATATTTTGGAGGTGAAAAACATGGCTAACAACGTGGAATCAAGGCGAATTGCATAGGATATTGAAGATTCTCTATCCGAATTCAAAATTCACATCAAGAACGTGGAAAATTCCTAAATCTTCATTATTTCTTCTTTCCGGGTGATGATTATCCAATTGTTCC